TTGAGGTTGCTGTGAGCTGTGATGCTACAGCACTCTACCCAGGGTGACAAACTGAGACTCTAACAAAAAAAGAAAGAAAGAAAGAAAGAAAGAAAGAAAGAAAGAAAGAAAGAAAGAAAGAAAGAAAGAAAGAAAGAAGTCTCAGAGTGTTCTTATAAGAAAGGACGTAGATAAGGCAGAGAAGATATTTAATGTTTTCATCTCTCTTATCCTATTCTTTGAGCATTTTACCGCCAGCACAATTTTCAACCATTCTTTGTTTAATTTCTAAATGCTATTACATGAATATAGCCTCCTCCTTTGTCAGTTCCATTATAAGACACTTTTTCTTAAATATAAAGTCTTTTGGGAAAACAAATGACACATTTTAGCAATTTGATCTTTCCCATATGATTTATAATCTCATCCTTCATACTTAAAGTTTCTAATTCTTTTGACCAATTTGTACTATCTTTACTGCTTGAAATTTACTAAAGTTCATTTTCTTTTTTCTTTTTGTTTTTGTTTGAGACAGTTTCACTTTCTAGTCCCCAGTAGCATGTATTGGGGTCATAGCTCATAGCAACCTCAAACTCTTGGGCTCAAAAGATCCTCTTGCCTTAGCCTCCTGAGTAGCTAGGGCTAAAGGCGTGTGCCCTAATGCTCGGCTATTTTTAGAGACAGGGTCTTGCTCTTGCTCAGACTGTTCTCAAACTCCTGAGCTCAAGCAGTCCACCCACCTCGGCCTCCCACAGTGCTGGGATTACAGGTATGAGGCACTGCACCTGGTCTATATAGTTCATGTTCTAAAACAAGTGATGGTAAGATGAATATGCAGTGTTGTATTTCAATTTGAAGATCTCCTGGCTTGTGGTTATTTTTTAATAAACATAATTGACAAATAGGATTTGCAGATGAAACGTAAGAAAAAGGAAAAATAAGTATTTTCTGCCCTGGATAAGAATAAAAGAGATAGCTAGAGAAAGTAGGATTCAGATTATTGGGAGAATTAGTCTCTAGTGTAATAAAAAACAAATATTCGTAGTCATTTTTATTTAAGCTGACCGTTGATTACCTCCTATTATAACAAATATTAGGCAGTGCTTTTACTATCCTGAAATAATTTTTAGAGATAACATAATTTACCTAATTACAAGATTGTTAAATCATTGTAATGCTCTAGTTAACATATAGGAGGAATAAAAAGTAATTCATAATAAAAATAATATGCATTTCAATATTGAAAGTGCTCCGGCAAATCTCCCTGAGAAGGCTGATAAAGTAGTCTGATACTTGGTGCTGTGCATGTAGAATCATCGTGAGTCTGACAGCTACAAAATACAGGCTGATAAAGGTGTGCTTACTGGCAACTCCAGTACCACGTGCCAGCTAAAAGCACTCTTGGTAATATTCTGCAAACAGTACACAGTTGCATTCCTGCAGAATTCAGTGTATATTAAAATCATGCAAAAGTACCTTTATAAAACAGATTTAAAGTCTAAGCCCATAAAATTATAAACAAGTTTTTGCAACACATGAATAGCTATGGAACATTTAAAAACCACGTGGGATGCAGAACAATTCCTCATTATGCTGTGTTGCCTGCAATTACAGGCTGTCCACCACCCTGACCTCCCACTAAATGCCAGTAGCACTTTCCAATCATCTTAACCACCAAAAATATCCCCCACAAATACCCAAAATGCCTCTAGAGGCTACCACTGTCTTCATTAAAAACCACTGATTGAGGGTGAGCAAAGGTACTTTTTTATAATGAAGCACCATCATCCTTTGCATTTTACTTTTATACTGAATTGATTCTATCAGTTAGGAAAACTGAATTCACCCCAAAGGTGAATTATCCAGTTAGAACATACTTGCCAATCCAAAAGGATATAGAAATATTTCCTAGAGCACTTGGCAGATATTAAATGTGGAAAAATCCTTTACTCTTTACATTGTGTGAACCTCTGTGGATTAGGAAAATGGGGTTTGAAAAGTAAAGGAAAGTTCACACTCTCTAAAATGGTAAACTTTTGATAAGGGTAAAGCTGTGGTAGTGAAAAGACCAGGCCCTGATTATAAAACCGTGTTTATCTCCTTCAAATAACATGGTTAGTGCTAAATGGACTAGTTTCCCTGTTACCTACCTGTATGTTGTTGCAGTTTATGACTGTAAATGGCTGCCTTCTTGATTAACCTAAATTTTTCACCTTTTATATACTTTTAGGAGTAAGTAATTTAATGGCCTACTGTTTCTACAATGATGGCATGAAAAGCACCTCTGTTAACCTCCCTGAAGTGATACATATTTTAAGTACCAGAAAGCTGCTCTCAGAAGTTTCCATTCACTAACCATTGTCATGGGTAGATTTTCATTCAACTTTAGCCTCAAATTTTTGAATATGGCTTGAAACGTGTATGTGCCCCACACAGACAGGCAATTATCCAACTTCCAAAAGCTATTTTTAAAATTACACTCCTAAATTGCAAGAGTAAATGTTGAGTGCCAGTTCAGGTACTCACTTATTTCAGGGACTTTGCTCTTTTCAACTCAGAACTAATAAAGGAGGGCGTCATCATAAGCTAAAACCAAAAAGCTTCTGTAGTGGTTTTTATCACCAGGGAAATTTGTTCATCCTTCAGAAAGATTGTCACCAGGAAAGAAGAAATAAAGGAGTTAAAATTGCTTCAGACCACTGACTCCTTAAGTCCCTCTAGATTCATAGATTGAATTGGTTTTCAAGGGGTAGGAGGAATTATGAGAGGAATTCCCTGAGAAAGCTTACAAATTGATCATAGCCTTGGTAACACTAGTAGGTGTAAGTGTGATCACTATGGAGTAAATGCCAAATGTGGCTGGAAGCTTGGGAAATGGGAAATAGGAAGGAAAAGAGACAATTAACACCTTTTTTTTTTTCTGGCTTATTGTGTTTGTGGGTGGGTGTACCATGTAGTATGCATCTGCGAATGTTCTTTCAAAAAGAAAGAATACAATCTATTTGAAAATATTTTATCATTTAAGTACAATTTAGTAATTATTATTGTACTGAAAACTAGGCAAGCACTGTAGAAACAGAGCTAGGCATTTCATAAACCTATCCAGAAATTGGTCCCCATTTTAGATATACCCACAAAATAATCATTTAAGGTAGGCATATTTGAACATATGTAGAACTGCTCACATAGGATTGGAGAATGTAAATCCCTCCAAAGTAAAAAAAAAATCATTTAAGATTGTCACTTGAGTAAATAGGTCAAAATTAGAATGATAAAAATCTAGTTGTTATATACATATGTTAAGGAACTTGAGGTATAACACACCTATTGATACAGGCCAGCATAGATATAATTTTTCCCCAAGAATTCTAGTAAGAATTGTCAAAATTCAGTTATTACTGTAGGATTAACCAGGATAAACCTATACTCATCCCTCCTTCCCATTGAATCACAATGAATTTTGCCCAAAATAAGTAAGCAAATCGATAAATGACCTTATTTTTTAGTTTGAAGATAGTAGTAGGAGGGATATTTTTCAAGGATATAGTTCAATACTGGATCTTAGTTTCAAATGCGGTTCGTAAGGCCCATCTGCAGAGGAGGGGAGGATAGGGAGCATCCTTGTGAGAGCACCTATATAAAGAGAGGGACTCTGGGGCCAGCTCCTATCGCTGAGTCACATGCACAGACTGTAGCTTTCTGCTCTCTTGGCCGACTGCAGCCATAGCATCCTTATTGTTGTACTCCCAGATTGTGATACTGTCACAAAACTGTTGCTAGGCAACAAATGTGGTTACCAGGTCTCAGCGAATAGCTGAAGGGGAAAGCAAAGTGTTGCACCATTGTAGAGTAACCATAGCAATGACCTACTATTACAGACTAAAGAATTATCATTAACAATGTTAAAGTATCAGACAGTGGCCTGAATCCGGAGACTTCCAAGCAGTATCCTTCTGCATAATTGAGTGACCTAACAAGAGATTTCAGGCTGTTTCAAAGCTATTCACTCATTATTTCTATGGAAGAGCCTTTTAATTATTGTTTCAATTTTTAAAATTGTTCAGTTATGAAGCTTCTGGTAAAATGCTCTAGGCCATCACAAGGAGTGAAAAATAGATGAATCTCATCTGTTCTTATGTCTACATGAGTATTACTTGCTGCTTTTGTTAAACTACAGGTAGATTTGTTTGGAAGAACACTGTATTAAATCGAAGTCACAGAAAGAAGCTATATAGTAAAACAACCCCATAAATTGACAATTACTTGTATTTTCCAAGTTGAATTCCTCCTGACAAAATGGGAGGCCCAGATGCTCTTTTAGTAGTCACAGCTTTGAATCATTTTTTTAGCTTTTCTAAATTCCCCCCAAAACCTGTAAAAATGTCGCCCGTTTGGAGACTTCCAGGCATAATCTCTTTTGAATCTGGTCCTTCGTTAAGCATCCCGGATGATTTGGTCCTGGTGACCTCACTGAGGTAATCATGTCTAAAGCACAGCTTACGGAGAGGCGAGGAAAACCTTTCCCCCCTTGGGAGGCAGGGAAATCGAGCGCTGCGGGTGGGGGACGCGGGTCCCGCGCACAGGGAGACCAATCCCCGCGCGCATCGGGGCCGGGTGTGGGTGGTCTCCTGGCAGGAGAGGGCGTGGCCCCAGCGCCGCGCGCCCCCATTGGCCCGGAAGGGCTGAGGCCCCGGGGCGCCCCGCAGCTTCTCGGGCGCCCTGCGGGACGTGGCCTGGCCGTATCCCCGCGCTGGTAGCGTGACCGTGACTCGGGCCGGCGGCCTCCCTGGGGACGTGGCGGGGTCCGCGCTCCCCTACGACTGGGGGGGGTCAAAAGAACCCTGGGGCGGAGGCGGGCCCTGGGGAGGCTGCGAGCAGGCCGCCCGGCCACCCCGCGCTGCGAGCTCGCCAGGGGCGGGGACACGGACGGCCCTGAGCCGCGGCTCAGCCGTCGCTGCCCGCACCTGCGCGGGGCCCGGAGCGAAGCCACCTGGTAACCGAATCTGTGGGTTTCTTTGCAGGCACCGAGCGTCACGAGCTAACTTCCTGGAAGAGCTTCCCGTCTATTTTCAAATTCTTTACCGAAGCCTCAGAGGCCAAGACCAGTTCCCTGAAGCCGAGTCTGACGCGACGCTCCCACCGCCTAAAGCACGAAGAGCTGTAAGGAGGGCGGGCGGGGGCGCCGGGCCGCGCCCTGCCGGCGTCCGCGCCTCCCCGCCGCTCGGCGAGCAGACTCCCGGCCCTCATTAGATTGTTTTCTTCCTAGAGCACAGGGTCGGGATATATACATCTAAATAGCGTTTTGCATTATTTCTAGATGAGTGCAACTGTCAAAGCAATATGGGTTCACTGGTCGCGCTTCCTGCGGGCTGCGCTCGGCCCGGCTGCCCGTCAGCGCGCAGATTAAGGCTGACAGCGCCCTGCCCGGCGCGGCTCGCGCGGCTCTAATTGCTCGGACGGAGCCCGCGCTGGCGCGGAGGGGCGCGCGGTGTCCGCGCGGTCCTGCCGCCCGCCGTGACGCAGCGCCGCCCCCCAATCATGTTCACTCCTCCCCCGAACAGAAGCAAACTCACTCTAGACTTCAGACTCTTTTTTACTAGGTTTTTTCCTGAGGGCGTCTTATGTCTCTCTCGTTTCTGAGGAAATTTCTCTCCGACACTCACGGAAAAGTCAAATTTAATTCAGTACATGAACGCCACAACGTACTACGGAGTTTGGGGAGTGCAGGTTCTCTCCTTAAGGATCCGTTTTCTGTTTCGAGACCAAAAGAAGGACTTGGCATACAAATCTATAGAGTACAAAATCCACATTACTGCTGCAAGTCCTTTGCAGTTCATAGTGAGATTTACACGAGTCTCTCATTTCATAAATGACTGTACAAAACACACGATGATGAGCAGATCTTTTAAGTGTAGGTGTGAAAGGTCCCATTTTTGTTGGAATTGACTTTCTTCTTCAAATATATGATGTGCATTGAGTGGCATTGTAATTTAGATAACACACTTTAAGTTTTGCTTTTTAAATCTTAATGTGGAGAAAGTTTGTTGTTAATTCTTGCTGGAATGATCAATTCAGAGCTTTCCTGGAGCTAGGCCCTTTTAGGGGTAGAGTTTTTTATTGTCATCGGGAAAATAAACCTACGCTGTCTGGGGCCTTTTTCTTCTGGAAGACTTAAGTTGGGCTAAAATGATTGTTTTAGTTTTCTGCTCTAATAAAAAGAGAATTGGAGTAAAAGATTTTTCTCCTCTCAGTCTAATGGTATCATTTTTCATACTCCGCTTCCTCTGTAGGATTTTTTCCCTGCGTTTCAACAATTAAATACAAATCCAAGAAAGATCTGGTCAACACTGTGAAAGACTAGAGAGGAAGTTAAGATTTTGCTGACTTTTAGATTAAAATATTAAATTTTAACATTATCAATTTTTAATTACTTGAAGAATTTAATTACCAAGTAAAGATTATTTCTAATAGAGGAAAGTCTGAATATAATATTTTTCATCCTTTTTTAAAGTGTATGCAACAGTTAACATGCCTGCCTTATTTGAGGACACGATAAAATGTACCCAAAATGACTTAGAACTAATAATGCCTCAGAAAAAGAACTTAAAATCAACCACCTCATGATAAATGTTTTTATATGATAAACTGATGTTAGCAAGTTTTAAAACTGATAATATCCCATTGCTGTGTTTGGCACACGAGTACATTCCTTAGTTCTGTAGTTTTAATGATGACGACTTAAAGTGATGTTTTTTCATTGAGTCATGCCTGTGTTTCTGTCTATGTTATTCAAGCAAAAAAAACATAGAAAAATCAAAATGGCATTTTATTCAACTGTTGGGTGGTGTAAAATGTAAGTCCCCTCAATGTCAAGCACATTAATCCGTGATATTGACCCTTGTGATATAGTCTTTCCTATTTTAAAAGTAATGGTGAATTGTATAAAATAGTGGTATCATCCAGTGAGGGATTTGAGAATTGATGCGGGTTGAGTATATTTTTCAAAGTGTCATCAATTGTGTGGTGTTTTCAGCAAATGAAAATGTTCATGGGAAACTAATTTTATAGCTTTTTTTTAAAAAAAACACTGTGCAATGCTGAATTTTTGAAACTTCTGCACCTGAATTAAAGCAAAATAAATATGCTTAGTTTATAAACCAAATCACTCCTATTACTTTTCTGTAGTTTTCTTACCTTGGCTTTTTAAAAACCTTTATTTGTAACTAGGATATATCACTGTTTAATTGTCTTTAATACTTTAATACTTTAAAACGATAAGATTGTTAGGCCTTGTTTAACTATCTGTGGAGAGCTATTTGCAAACTTAAGTTGTGTAAATGTAATTTCTGCTTGTGAATCTGAGCTGTGGCAAGCCAGGGAGAGCTAGGCAAACCATTCCAGACCACCAACTGATAACTGATCACATTCTTTGTTAATGTAGAATTTTTTAACCTGTTGATTACAAGTCTGTTGGTATAAATGTAATAATATCGTTCACCTTAATTTCCCTGGAATAACAACAAGCAGTTGGTAGTAGCTCACCTGCTTGAGGGTGGCCAGTGTTAATAGTATTTTTGCTCTGATCTTCTCCTTCCCCTTTTTGGTTTTCTTGGTTTTTTAGGAGAATAGAGTTAAAGTTAGAATACTTCTTAGAGCAAATGGAATGGGACAGGAGTTGTTGATAAATCGAAGATTCAAAACCCTCTATTGAAACTTAAAAGCCAGATAATTGCTTTGGAGTATCTAACCATGGCACCTAACCGTGCAGTCCTCAAAAGTTGTCTTGGATATTTGAAAAGAAGACCTTCTACTTGTAATAATTGTTCTTTTCTCAAGTTTCAGGTTTGTGTTTTGACCTGGATTGCATTATTGTTTATATAATTTAAAAACATACATTTCCTATATACATATTTCTGTTACATTTTAAAATAAAAATAATGTTCCCAACAACCAGTGTCATATCATTCTTGCTCAGAAGTTCTTTTATTCATCAACTCTATAGAGTTTTAAAGCAGAAACATAAAAGAATTATGGGACAGCATTCATCAATATTTTAAACCTTATGGCTATTTATTATTACTTTTATTTCTGTAAAGCAATATCCTAACTTCAGTTGAGTCATCTTCTAGCTCACACCTTTCACAAAGGTAACAGTTTTTAAGATGTATGTTTTTTAATAGATAAAATATCTGCTTAGCTAAGAAATTTGAACAAGCTGTCAAAACTATTGCTTTATAAAATAAACTTTAACATACTGTAAATAATTGTGTCGTCCAAAGGGAGTCTGGTAAGATTAAATTGCTCCCAAATTCCTACATGTATGATGTGCTATATGTTCAATCTGAAAATAACTTTTTTACATTTATTTTACAGCTACTCCTTTCTTAAAGGAATAACCTTTTTTCTTAAAGGAATAGCCTATAACTTCTTTGAGAACTATATTCTCAGTGCTAATAGGTTAACATGTTTTTTAAGTTTCTATTATCTACAGTGCCAATTTAAACCCGTGTATCTCTTATTATAATCATAGTTTTTACTGTAAACTGGCAAGTTCTGTTGGTGTCTGTAATCTACATTTAGAAAGACTACTATTACAAAAACTATAAAAATTTCTCAAAACCTTTCCCATTGCCTCTGTGGAAAAACATATCTTTAGATAAATGTGAGACATTCTCATCTTTGAAATATGGGTGGCAAAAGGGGGGATGAATGTGGTGGTTATTTTATGATTACTTATTAGTGGCTGTAATAATATAAAATAAAAGACACCAGGAGGTACTCCCTTTCAAAAATTGAATACTTTCCTTCCTTCCTTGTATAGAATGACTGAGTGGGAGTCTCTTGAATTGTTCGTCTTCCTTTTATCTAATATTCTATTAATCTCCAAAAAGATCAGTTTGAGTCTGGGAAAGGGTTTTTAATCAACACTTCACAGAGCTTAAAGCTACCCTACCTAAAGCGTCAGCTTTGTTAGGAGGTTTTAGATTTGAAGCATTGCAACTGTCATGCACTGTACTAAAAGTAAAGAATGTATACCAAGTGGAAGATGTTGAAAGGAGGGAAATAGCACAAAGTCGATTAACGGAGGTTCCAGAATAGAAGTAGCCATCAAAGCATTCCAGCGTTTATCTCAAAATCTATGTAAGGTTTTAAAAAAAAGCAACAATGATAGTTTTAAGCCACATACTTAGGCGGGATGAATGTTGATTTAATTGATTCATTTGGATCGATGTTTTTAAAGTTTCACACCACTGATCTTTCATGTAGTGATGTCTTTAGCAGTCAGTGGTCTGACATGAGCCTTCTCAGATTTCATCAGTGGGACTCTCCATGACATCTAAAATTATGCAACAGCCTGTGCGATGGCAACTTGAGAATTGAGAGACTTCGAAGCCAAAGAGCATGATTTGATTGAAGAACTCTTTAATTCTTATTACAAAGGTTTTAGAGGAGTAATAACTGTAAATGAACCACAGAGGTTGAAGTCTCCAGATACTATATAGTTAGTTGGCTTTAATTGCTAGATAGAGGAGAAAGTCATCCTGAAAGTTTGACCATTAAGCGGACATCGCACAGTGACCAGTACTTTCCCTTGAATGTAAAAAGCTTGAAAATGGGAATCTAACTTAATTCATGTGGGCTTCTAAGTATCTTTCCCAGCTCTTTGCCTTGAGACTTATAAAAAACCTTTCACTATATTCTTTGTATTGTTGTAGTTGAGTTCTGTTTGAAACAGACTTAAGGCTTGCTTCTAGAAGGAAATGGAGAGAAGTTCTGCATCTTTCTTCATCAGGTAATATGGAGAACTGTCATAGGTAAAATAATGTTGATCTGTATGTACTTTGTGGCCAGCCTGCAGGACCAATACAAAGAAACTGAAATGAAAAGACAACCAACACCCTAAGAATGATATGTCTCTTTTTAAAGTTTACAGTTTGAATAATGAATTTGGATAGAAACTTGGCAAGAAAACAGACCATGGCACCATCACATCACCAACCATTTTCACTTTTCTGTCCAATTTCAGAGTGCATGTGTTTGTGAGTATTTCACTAGATCAGTGACAGCTCTTTATTTGCATAATTATATGCTCTGGTCTGAAGAGAAAACTAACCCCCAAATTTCATGGGTCACCAAACTGCAACAATCAATGTTTTATCACGTATGCTAAGCAAAATCTAAGAAGCTATATGAAGTTTCTTGGGGAGTTTTTACTCCTCAGAAAATTAAAGAGTTTTCCTCTCCTGAATAGATTAAAAATCTTTCCAAGTTCTTTGTAACTGAATTCTGTTTGAAGGCAAAACTAGAGATTAACATGTAGATCTGGATCATGGACTCACTAGCATTGCTTCAAAGTGGCTTAAGAAGAGCAGCATTTTGGGTGCACTAAACTTTTAAGTTCTAAGTACTGTCCTGCGTGGTATGAGGAAAAATTACTGGTGAAATTATGATTATCCAAACTAAAGTCCAAAGTAACTATAACTAAGTACAAAGTTCATTTCCTTCTTTGAGGTAACTAATGATTTTTT